TGTGTGTGTGTGTGTGTGTGTGTGTGGTACTGTTTTGATTAAATAATGATCGGTGCTCACAGCTGCACCAGGAGCAGAGGGAATGATTCAACAGGATGTTTGCCCAGTTCTGTTATTTCTTACCTTTCACTGCTTGCACAAACCTTTATAAATGCTGTTTATTTGTATTCTGAGGAGTTACAGGGTTTGGTGCAGCAAAGGAGTTTGAAAAGATATGCTCCTCGCTGGTTTTACAGATCTTTTTTTGGAATATTTTTCCCCTCTGCAGTTTTTTGCCATTATTTTCATATTGGTTTCTCATGGTTACTGGCTACTTGTATGTATATATTATACTTTTGTTAGTCACTTTCCTCCCACCCTTCATCCAAGTTGACTATACCTCAAACGAGGGTGTCTAGAAAGGTTTGTATTTCCAATTTCATGCGTGATTTCTCCAGGACACAAAAGCATTTGGCATGTGTCAACATCAGATCCAATAGTTATTCCAACTTCTTCACTGGGTCCCCTTCCAGGCACAATTTAAATTCAACCAAGACTGTGTACATTTTCAGTTCTAGGAAAATAGCCTGGAATGAGGTCAGAGGTAGAAACTCCACTTTCCTGATGGTCTTAGTTTTCTTCTTCTTTTTCCTAAAGAGAACAATCTTCTAGTCCCTATGACTTATGATGAAGGCAATGCTTGCTGTGTACTGCCCAAAGCCAGAAAAGTGAGTAAGATTTTGATCATTCCAGGCAGAGCACCTGTACTTTACACTCAACAAATGAAAAAAACAGCCGGGGAGAGGGGTTTAGCAGAAAACTAGCCAGAGAGGAAAGGGTTGGGTATCCCCTTGGCTAATCAAGATCATAGCTTTTCCAGGTAAAAAAAAAAGGGGGGGGGGTTGGACAAGTTAGTTCTAATGCAATATTCCTCAACATGGAGCCATCCAGATGTGATAGAGTACAACTCTCAACCTATTATCACTCAGTTATAATTGTTCATTAAAAATAGGATAGGCAAATCACCCTATGGGAATGCTGGAACATTTGTGAGATTCATCCTCATAATTCTGGTAGAACCCTGCAATTCTCTCTAACTGTAAATCTAACTGGTCTCAAAACCTTCCTGCAACTTGTGCTACATCAGACACCGCATGCCTACACAGCATTTATCAAGATTATTTTTGCAAAATGCATCTATCATTGGTGGGGCACATGCCGGATACTTTCCACAGTGTTGAAAGCACAATCTCCCTCCCAGGAGAAGCAGAAGAAATCAGAAAGGTGATGTGAAAGCAGGTGTGATGGTGAGAGTGTTGGACTGGGAACTTGCAAGGTCCAGGTTCTAGTCCCCACTCAGCCACAATGCTCACTGGGTGACTTGGACGCTCAGCCCAACCTACCTCACAGCATTGGTGGTGATGCAGAGGAGAATTGACTAAGCTTTCCTGGCAAGAGTGGGGAAAAGGCAGGGCATGAATGCTGTTTATAAGCTGCAATGTAACTGGTCTTAAGAAATGCAGGTTCTACTGGCAAAAATAGGACAGGTAGGAGACCAGTGTGGGGTGTGCCGGCGAATCAGGAATCCAGTGCCATTAAAATAGTGCAGAGTCCCCCTCTCTGTGGATTAGTCCCAGGCATGACGGTGAGCAAGGATGGATGCATGGATGGGTGGATGATTGAATGCAAAGCATTTATGAGCTATGGTGCCCAAACACCCATTTCCCTGCTGTGCTGCTTAGAAAAGTAGTTATGGCAGCCATGTGCACCACTTTGCAGAGGGCAGTCCTCTACTGAAAGCATCCTCTACTTCGGAGGCGGGCAGTTTCAGGACATCCAGGGAGAATTTTGCCCACCTGACCCCACTGCCCAAGCGCACATATGCCATCTCTCTCACACATCTAACCCACCGTGATGCGCTCTCCTGCTACGATCACCCTACAGAATTTGGTGGCAGCACCGGAAGTTGCACCAATTTGTTTCCAGGGTGCTGTGGCAATCCATCCTGGAACGTTGCAGGAGACCAGCCAAAATTAAGCCCTTTATAGCCATTCATTCTAACACAGTTTCTTTCTTCAGTTTGCGATCCCACCTTTCCATTTCTTTTTTAGTTTGGATCAGCTTGACAGCCAGCTAAAGGTTGCCCACTGTAGCATCCCAAAGTAGTTTGGTGCAGGCCACTGCTAGCCTCACCCGCCTCTACTAGAAAGGTGGTGCAGTAGAGGTCCAATTTAACAATCAAGGCCACAGTCAGGCGCACCAGGAGGTCTAAACTGGCACATCCACATTTAGCATCAGGCCACCACACTGAGTGAGTTGGCTGGCCCACCAAGTTGCCGGTCACAGGTTTCCCCTTGAACTGGTGAAATGTGATGCAATGGTATTTGAACTATGCTATTTATTTCTAAATTTGCTTCTAAGTTCGCACCTGCAAATGTTATGCAAGTGCATCTCCTTCGTTAGCCCTTCCTTGGGGGTGTGATGCATTTCCTCTGCCGTGGCCATGTGTTAAGTAGCCACCCTGGAAGTCGTCCTAGGTGGGTCATAACTTGTTTGCCCCTTCCATGTATCCTGTGTGGGCTGGTTTTTGTCTGGCTGATCCATATTTGAAACAACCTACATTTAAATCAATTCCCCAGGCTTTGAACGAAATATCTAGCGGTGCAGATATGACCTTCGAAGAAGTAAAATTAATTTTCTTATTATCCTTGAGATAATTTCTCTAATGCCTTTATTCTTCCTATTGAAGACATAGTCCTGCCACAGTGAAAACTGTTTACAAATGTTCTTTCTCTACATTAAAATTGATTTTCTGAGGGTGAGATAGGCAATGCATTCTGGAACTAATTTGAATTTTTCTCTAATTAATATTCAAACCCAAAATATGTTATCTTTGCATGACTGTGCAATTATTAACAGGAAAATATCATCCATGAAGGTAATTATTTTTCATTTTCATTTCTTCCTCTTGCCCCCCTCCCCACTTCCTTTTTAATAGCAGGTTACATTTAAAAAAGACAGCCTGTATCAGATCTTCCTTCTCTTTTTTTAGGCTATGATTGAAGAAGCCATCACAAGAGCAGAATGCTTTTCGGTGATGTACACCCCATTTGCAACCAAAGTAAAGACAATAAAAATTGACAAGCTGAAGGAAGCTTTTACCAAAAAGCATCCCGACTATGTGGAATATATATACACAGGTGACAAAGCTGACCTTAGCAATTTAAGGGTGGTGGAGGCAAAATTAAGCACCTTATCACCTTTTATTTTAATGTAGCTTCACTGTTCATTTTTAAAATATGGATGCCCCTAATTTGTTTTACAAGGGAGATCTGAGCACAATCCTGCAGCCTCTAGATGGTCATGGGACTCTGGGGATCTCTTTGCCCAAAGCAAGAGACACTTACAGACTCCAAGAAGCTCATCTGAACAGCAATTCCCCCTGCACCCCAGGATCCTCCCCACTGCTGCAGAAAGATCCATGCTGGATCCAAAGCTTTCTGACTTTGGAAAGGAGAAGAAGAGTGAGGGGCAAGGTGCACCAGCAAGGAGATAAGTCACAGAGACACCCATGCCAATGCCTTCTCAGCCCCTACCCTTGTCCGCTGACAGCATGACTCACCCACACTGCTCAGAAGCCCCTGTAGTAAAACTACAAAGGAGAACAGAGAAAAAGTAAAATGCAAAATAAAAACCAATAATTCAGTGAATTACTTGCTGGATCTACCATTAGGTAGAAAGAGGCAGTTACCTCCAAAGGCAGATGTTGGGACAGCTGGAGGGCAGGAGCTCACCAACACAGTGGAGCTCACCAGCAAGGTGTTGGAGGGCCAAGCGATGCATCCAAGTGGCTTCGCCTGCTGCCCTCAGTGTGATAAAGGATATTGTGAAATTGCCAGTACGGTTCAGCCACTGCTCTGGTTTGCCCATGGATGGGACCATCTTGTCCTTCACTTCAGACAGCAAAATGTTTCAGGCAGACTTTGCAAACAAGCATGGAGAATAAAACAGAATGAAGAGGAAATTAAACTCCAGTAACATAAAACACTTCTCAAACAGCTATATAGCAACATCCTCACTATTTAATGGAAAAATCTGGCAGGGTTAAGGGATTGTTTTAGCCTGGCGTCTAAAATGAGTTAAAGCTGGCACCAGGTGAACCTCTCTGGAGAAGATGTTCCTTAAATGGGAAGCCGCCATGGAAAATGGAAGCTGCTCTGAATGAACTTTTGGGGGAGTGCTCAAGCAGCATAAGAAGGCCTGAGGTGATGCACAACAAGAGGCATGTCAAAGGGTCCATATTAGAGCATTGCTGTGGTCTATAGGAATCCTACCCCCTCTCAAAATTTCCTGTCCATCTGAGTGCTGACCTTGAGTGGAATTCTGCTAGTGTACCACCCATCCCACTACCATTCAGAGTCCCTCCCTCAGCTGTGGGACGTGGTCACAGGTTAGGTGTAGAAGACCCCTAGAGAGATAGCTCTGGGGGATCCCAACTTGCATGCTAAGGCTGCCGAATCCAAGGTGGCTTCCAGGACTTCATAGCCACTATAACAACTGTGGGGCTGTGTCAACATAAGCCCAAGGCATGTAAGGGGACACACTCTTGATTTAGTTTCCTTGACTGGGCAGGACAGAGATCTGAAAATGGGAGAAGTAACATCCACCCCATTGTTGTGTTCTGATCACTGCCTGTTAAGGTTTGGCCTCTCAGTGGTCCTTCATCTCTGGAAGGATGAGGAACCTCTGAAAGTGGCCCACCCACAGATACTGATGGATTTTCTTGTTGCTCCTGTTGAAGTCCTGGTCCCTCTGTGGAATACAGTAGAGACAATCATACCCAAGTGCCCTCTCCTTCTGAGCAGAACCCAGCCAACAACTTGGTATTCCTTTGAGCGGAAGGCAAGAGGGCAAGAAGGAAGACAACTAGAACAGAGGTGAAAGAAAAATCATGTTGAATCAGACCAAACACAGGTTAGAGCTCATTCCTGAGCTGATTATTGCCCTGTTCCTTAGTTATGCTTAGGAGATTCCACAGAGCTCAGTTTTATCTGCCATCTACACAAAACTGCTGGGGGAAGTTATCTGGAGGTATGAGCTAAGGTGTCATCACTATGCATCACTCTCTCTCCTCTTCATCAAATTCAGGTGAGGCAGTCACTGTTCTGCCTGGGCACATTAATGGGCTGGAAGAGGGCCAATAGACTTCAGAGTCATTCCATCCAAAACAGATGGACTGCTAATGGATGGTTCACATGCCCAGATAAGTGATATTCAACCAGTTCTAGAGGGAGTCACACTAACCCCAAAGGATTTGGGGGTGCTTTTGGATCCAATACTTCCACAAGAGGCACAGGTTAACTCTTACACACACACATGCATGCATCCACTAGCATGCACAAGCACACACACACACACATTTACATGCAAGCTTCTTCTGATTTGTAAAGTTCTTTTTGGAATTCTCTTTAAAAGAAAGATGTTCCTGCTCCCCTTTTTTATTTCAGATCCCCATGGACTCCACAGCTTGCCCCAAACAGCTGACTGGTCTTTTCCATCTCCCCAGTCCTATCTGCTGACACTGGGCTTCAAAAACAAAGAAGTTGGGAAATTTCTAGAAAAGATGTCCTGCAGGAAGCTGCCAACATTTTCAGGTAATGAATGTGGCCATGGATTTCTCCATTTGTTTTCCCTCTCTAATGTCTCAGACAGTACCTGATTTGAAGCCAGAAGGCTGATTACTTAAACAAGGGATTAGAGGTTCTCCTTCAAACACAGGCTTTAATCACCAGCCACTGCTTCTCTTATGCAAACTACAGCTCGGAAAGGCCAACAGCAGCACTTTGGGTAATACTAGCCTTCCTTCTGGTTTTCTCCCATATCTCGTTCCTCCATCTGCTCTTCTTCCAACCAGAGCTGGCATCAAAGGTGAACATGGACAGGTACCTGCGGATTTCCTGTATCTCAGTACTGGCCCACTAACAAGACCCCCAAAGAGTTGCTTCCCATCCTCCACATTGTATCCTGCTAATTCATCTGCTTTTTGGTCTGGCCCCAATAATGACAGTGAAAGGACAAGAAGTATTAAATGCCTGCTTGCTCCCTGATTCTTTGCCTGCCAAGTAAGGACATGGTAGCACTTAGGAGAAAGAAGACAAGGACAAGTAGAAATGGATGACAATGGTGGTGAGAAGGTAGTCACACTGAGGAAGAGAGGCCACCAAGGGTGACTTGCCCAGGGACTCTCAACCAACTGGAAGTGGCACTACCCACAACCCAAAACTTCCCAGTCAGTGCCCATGCTCTGACTGCTCAGCGTGCGTGGAATTCGTCTTGCTTGGATAGATAGGTGCGAATGAGGGAGGAACTGGGAGCACAGTGGTATGCTGGGAAAGGGCATGGCATGACTGGCTTACTGGCTGGCCAGGACACTGAAGAAGAGGGTGCAACACTTCAACAGTTAGTGGCAAATTAGTCATAATCATGAATCAATCTCATCTTCCACGAGAGGAAGCCATTCACTGGTAGACAATCCCCCGATCCAGGCTTTGAGGATCCCCATCCCACACACACACCCCAAAGCTCATCCCATATTACAGGAACTTCTGGATGTGTAGCTGGACAGGCTGCCTTGGAAAGAAAGGAACAAGGAAGACCATTTGCTCCTGATCCAGCATAACTCTGGATCTGAAACCATCTGACATGAATCCCTTTAAATCTTCACAGAGCACAAAGCTCCTTTTAGTCCTCTTACCAAAGAAGAGGCAGGAAGACACCTGGAAACCATTGGGAAAAGAATCTTGCCAATAATGGATTTCATCAGAGGCACCAAATTAACTGTAAGTACAAGAATCCCTTTCATGGATTCTTCTGCCCACCACCCCAATAAATACTGCTTATTTCCATGCAGAAGGTTATGAAGGGCTGTACTCTAGCTATTGGAGCCATGGCTGTCACCCAGAGGACCCCAGTAGTCCTTCGCAAGAATAACATCCAACTTGGATGTTTGGGGACAACTGCCCATCTTTGTCACACTCTTGTCAAAGCAGCATTTTATGTTAGCAAAGTCCGAAAACACAGAACAATCATTTTGTGGTGATATACTGTACATTTACCTTCTGTAGCAGAAGCTGCCTTCCCTTATTTCCATTAATTCTGAAGAGGAGGAACCTGATATATTTATTATTTTTGAACAGAATGTATATCCCACCTTTCCATTTCAACAGGGACATTCAAATGGCTCTTCATATAATAGAGCACCAAAACATAAAGAGCCATCCTAAGGATCCTGAGCAAGCATCCCAGGGAATAATGACTGTGTTCCCCCTTCAGAGGTCAGAGACAGCACCCAAACCTTAGCAAGGAGAGTTGGAGAGCCAACTCTCCTCCTCACAGGCTGCTCTCCAAGGTCAAACAAGCAACCTTCCAGGTGGAGGAGGAGGAAGGAAGGGGGTTCCTCAGTAGTGGAGAAGAGATCACAGGGGCCAGGCTATGGGCTTCCTTGAGCCTCTCCTGCCCTCTCCCCACCCTCTGGAGTGTCATCTAATAAGCCTGCCTACCAAAATCTGCTGGTCAGGAGGACAGGCAGGCAAAGAGCACCTCTGCTGCTGCTCTCTTGCCCAGCATTTGATCATCTGACTCCTCCCCATTTGGGAACCTTCTGATCCCTTAGGGTGCAATCCACTCATCTATCACGTAATTCCTTAACTCAGTAAAAGGAACCATCAGATAAAAGCAGCATTTTAAAAAAAGCCAACACACTGCATTAAACGAAGCAATAAAAATTAACCCAGCACCTCCTAGTGCATAAAAGCAGCAGGTGATACAAGTTTTCCCCATTGATGGATTTGTTTAAAAAAACTTGGTAGAAAAAGATCTTGCTTAGGCAATGGAAAATCATAAGAGCACAGGCAAAATTGAGTCTGTAAGCCAAGTCATATGGGGAATGAGGCCAGTGGGTGTGCATGGCAGAATTTTGGGGCACTCATCCAGAAGAGCCACCAATCACTGCAGTTCTGGGCTTACCATCTTTGAAGAAAGATGGTAGTGACCCTGACCATCCCAGGAGGGTCCCATGATGAAACAAATCCAGAATCAAAAATTGCCTATCTGCCGGGGGTTGCTATGGATTGTTGTGTCGTGTGAGAAGAGCTAGTGGGGACTATTTGAGGGCTAAACAACCCTCATATAACCCATGGTCTGTTGTAGGCTTCTGTGAGGATTGTTTGGCAGTCAAATGACCCCCCACCACCACCAGGTTCATATGACATGACAAGCCATGGCAACCCCCAGTTGGACAGTCCCCATTCATGATGGCTTCCAGTACGCACTGCAGCTCCTCCAGGGTAAATTAACCCACATTGGGCTATTGCGCTTTGTGAACTAGCCCTCTGAGGTATGATTCAATGGCCCCAACACAAGCTGCCTGGACTCTTATTCTAGAGAACAAGCAGCATTAGATAGTGAACAGAAGAGCCTTGCTGGATCCAGCCAAGGGACCCGCAGTGGCCAACCAGATGTTTCTTGGAAGCCCACAAACAAATCATGAATGTAAATAATATTTTCCATTGTTTTGCCCCCTAGAAACTAGTATTGAGGCAGTTTTGATAAAGCAATTATAGCTGATATACATGAGTAGACATGTGCCCCAGGAGTAGAAATTGACTCCTCACACAAAATGTTCCGTGCTCTAGTGTGAGACTTTGCCCCAGTCCACTGAGGCACTGATTTGGAGTCATGTGTAAGTTTTAAAGTCAGGCCCAGCCATGGGAAGCTACATGCCAGAGCACTTAGTTCTAGTAGCCTCTCACTGGCTTACAAGCCAGGAGAGGGTGTTGACTCAGGAAGCTGAGATGGCCCGCATTCTACATCTGGGGAAATGGACCTTGATAGAGGTCCCAGCTTCTCGGCCAGGGACATCCTCCATGGAAACATGGCTACAGGAAGAGGGAAGGGTTTCAGGGAAGTGTCCAAAACTTGTTAATTAAAGAGGGTGCTGCAGAAGCATCCGGAGAAGTGGCAACCAACTGAAAGCCTCTTTTCCCAGCCAGGATAGCAATCTCTAGCAGCTGGCTACTCCCCTGTATTTAAACTAGGATAATGGGCCATTGACTTTGTTAGAAACTACATCTGTGCAATCAAGGAAGCTTCCTAGAAAGCAAATGGACCCAATTAGAGCAATAAACAGTAAAGCCAGCAGCAGGAGGAGGTCTACACAGTATATTGGCCGGGAGGGGGGGGCAATTTATTGCATTGCATTTTACAGTTACACCCCACCTTTCTTTCTTTTGCAAGGAATCCAAAGCAGCTTACAAAGTTCTCCTCCACTCCATTTTATCCTCACAACAACAACACTGCAAGCTAGGTTAGGCTGAGTCAGTGAGTAGCCCAAAGTCACCCGGTGAGCTTCATGATTGATCAGGGACTAGAACCCAGATCTCCTGCACTCCAGTCCATCACTCTAACCGTGAAGCCACACACGATCTCATGTGTGAGCATCTGCCAGTTGGGCAGAAGTTGTGGCTATTAAATGAGTAATAACAGAGGATGAAAAAATTGTGAAGAATGTGAATTCTTCACAAATATCGTTACTTCAGAACATCCAGGACAGACAATGGTGATAAAATATGACTTTCTAGTCTTATTAACAGTTAATAAATTACCAAACCCAGACATTATCTATCTTAGACTTCTCAAAGAACTTAAAGATGAAACTGCAGACCTTCTTGCAAAAATACAAGAACTGGAGAATGACCAATGCAACACCAGTTTTTTTATAAAAGTATCCAAGAAATAACAAGGTAGTTAGTTTAACATCTGTTCTTGATAAATTGGTAGAAAGTGTTATTAAATATAGAATCAGTGGAGGGACAAACTCTGATGAAAAGAATCAAAATGACTTCTGCAAATTAAGTCCTGTCTCACAAAATTTTTAGAGGTCTTTGAGAGTGCTAATAAACATGTAGACATAGGTAATTCAGTGGACATTATTTACTTGGACTTCCAAAAGTGTTTTTAATATAGTCCCTTACCAAAGATTTCTGAGCAATCTTAGCAGTCATGGAAAAAGAGAAGTCTTCTTATGGATCAGTAACTAATTAAAGAATAAAAAGCAGAAAGTGGGAATAAATGGTCAGTTCTCCCAATGGAAGGATATAAACTGTGGGGTCCCACAAGGAACTGTACTGAAACCAGTGTTTTTCAATATGCTATAAATGGCTTAGAATTTGGAAATGGCTTGGAATTTGTGTGGTGGCCAAATTGCCTGATGATATCTAATTATTTGAGTCATTTAAAACAAAAAGTTTGTGAGGAGCTCAAAGGCATTTCTCCAAACTGGGAAGAAGGGCATCAAAATAGTAAATCCAGTTCCAAGAAGTAAATGTTAAGTGATGCAGACTTGGTACAAAAAAATCCCAATTTCAAGTATAAGCTACTGGGATCTGCACTAAGCAGTTGCTGACCAGGAAAGGGAGCTGGGAATTGTGGGGAACAGTTTGGTGAAAATATCAACCCATCATGCAGTTGCTGTGGAATACGCAAATTCCATGTTAGGCATAATTAGGAATGGAATTAAAAATAGACTGCCAGTATCATATTCCCTCTTATACAAATCTATGGTGCAACCACACTTAAGATATCGCATACAGTTCTGTTTACTGCATCTAAACATAGATATTGCAGAATTGCAAATCATGCTAATAAGAACAATGCAAGCAATCAAAAGACTGACACGGATCACCTAAGAGGAAAGGTTACAACATCTGAGACAGTTTAGCTTAGAAGAAATACAAGCGAGGGGAGATGCGATAGAGGTGTAAAAAAGTTTGTACAGTGTAGAGAAAGTGGATGGGAAGATATTTTCTACCTCTCTCAAAATACTAGAACTCAATGGAGTAATTCTCCATGAAGTTAATTGATGGGAGATTCAGGACAGATAAATGGAAGTACACCTTCCTACAACTCATAATTAATTAAATTATGGGGTTTGCTACCAAAGATGTAGTGATGGCCACCAGTCCTAATGGCTGTAAGCTACCTTCAGTATCAGAGACATATACAACATTTACTCCCATATAAAACAACTGCTGGGAACACGGGAAGGAGAATTCTGTAGCACTCATACCCCGCTTGTGAGTTTCTTGTGGGCAGATGGTTGGCTAGGATGCAAATATAATGCTGGACTGGATGGTCCCTTGGTCTGATCCAGTGTGGTTCTTCTTGTGCTCCTGGCTTTACTGAACTGTAAACTTGTTTGGATTTATTCTGTGTGCTGAACCCAGGGCAGACTGAGTCTTTTGTTCTGATGCTCATGACCTGATTTTGGACAAAGAACTATGTGGTTATCTGGATCTCTTTACTGGAGCTATAAAGGCTCATCCCTAATTATACAAACCACTGCAATAGTGCAATTGCTGAGAGTTGTGCCTCTGGATCAGGAAATCAGGTTCTAAGATCTAGTTACACCCCCATGCCCAAGGGTATTCCCTTAAGAGTTTGATTCCAGCAGGTTCTAGGTCTGCAAGGTCTTTGAAACAGATTTTTCTTGGGTCCTAAAACAGCCTTCACAAAACAGATGGGTTGGATTGCAGCTACATATGGGAGTAGGGACTCCCTTTCTATTAGAACAAAAGGTCAAAAATCAAAATTGGCAATGGCAATTAGACTTTTAAGACAATTCTTACCTTAAATAAAGGAAAAGTGGAAATGTCTCTCATCAACAAAAGGATGGCTTTAACATTTCATTCTCATTTTATCTAACAATAACCATGTTCTCAGGATGTGATGGGAGCAAGAAGGGTGAGGATAGGAAGGAGGAATTAACTGGATTCAAACAACACAATAACCAACAGTCAAGTGTTATGTGCGCATTGTCACTGAACAGTGACATGGATTGTTGTGTTGTCTAAACCTAGCTGAGGTAACAAACCATGGTGAACAACCCCCAATCCACAGCCCAACAATAGACCATAGATTCTCTTCATGGGTTGTTTGCAGTTGATAAGCCAAGGCTTGTTAGCACAACAGGGTTCAAACATCACAATCAACCCAAGCTCAACAACAATCCATAACAATAACAACCCTTGAATGTGGGTTATTGTGTTGTCTGAACCTAGCCATTCTTTATCAGCATAGCACTAGTAAATCAAATTATTTGTATTAAAAAGGAAAGATGAATAAAAATATATTGGATTATCAAGGACCAAAAAAGAATACCTAGCAATCTTACACATGCATACAAGGAACAGCATGGCAGAGTAAAATCCCTGCCCTCTCTTATAAACATCTTTTTACCCTGTGATCATGAGAAATGAATACCTGCACCCCAAAACCAGACTCTAAAGCAATTTGGGGTTAACACTGGAGGGCAAGAAGAGTTCTGTCGTTCCCACCTAGATACTGATTAAATTGGGCATTCCACTTTTCTGTGAAAGTCGTCCAATTTTTTGTTTGAATTACATTTGCCGGTACTATTTATCAGCCTTAATACTCAATCCACGGAAGAAGGTACTTTATGGAACAGTTCCTTTCAACTTACCTGCTATTAGCTCTTTGAATTTCTCTTGGTTTTTAGAAAAGAATAGTAAATTGGGAATGGCAGGAATATACCTGCAATGAGAAGCGGCAATTATTTTCTGTGTGATCAAAAAGTGCTTTAGCTAGTTTTCTGCTGAAAGCCAGTGATGGAAGAGACTCAGGACAAGACAGTCAGGGGAGAAGAGACCTAATTAACAGCCCAAGTCTGTAAACCAGCAATGCCAAAATATTTCAGCGTATATTGGCAGTTGTCTTTCTGCTTGAATTGTTTCCCGGTGTTTTAGCTGAACTGGTCTGTGGATTAGGATTGAAATGAAGGCATAACCTAAAGTCTGTAACAAAATTAGGAGCAAATTATGGGCATGATCAGAGGTGTTGCTGGGCATTTAAAAGATTCAGGGCCTAGCTGAAAAAAGTGCTTAATCAGATCTCTGGGGAACAGAACTACAGTTATGGCTCTGTAATACCAGGCTTCACAGTGGCCCCCAAGTAGAATTGACGCTGTTTTTCAAACAAGCTGGGCAGTCCTGGGAAACACCCCCACACGGCTCCTTCTCCTCCTTCTGCTGCTGCTGCCTTCTATCAAACACCAGCAGTGTCAGACTCAGTGCAGTAAACCCCAACACTATCCAGGGTGGGCCGTTCAAGGTAATTCCTCTGGGCTTCCTAACAAGCCATCTAGAAACTGCTGTGCTCACTTATCCAGAGTGTTTCAACTACATCCATCAAGGAAGCCTCAGCCTGGAGTTTGCAAGAGCTGAGCGGGGCTGCCTGGAAAGGACATTTTGGACGGCATCCCTGGATAGGGTCACCATAAGTCAGAGATGACTTGACGGCAAGCAGCCACACGACGACCGGTTTTCGGTTTGTCCCAAACATTACTCTGTGGTTATGTTCACACAAAATGTGAAACCAAGCTGCATGCTTTCCACACAGCAGCTATCTCACCTTGTGCCTTGTGCATACACTTGGATAACTAACACAGTCACACAACAAAGAATGTAGTGGAAACACATGCAAAAGGAACACATTGCAAAACATAAAACTCCCAAAAACAGATGTTAAGAAGTAACATAGAATCCTGCATTCACTGTGATAGACAACTGTATTTCAAGTTTACCAGAAATCCCACTTGCCTGCTTGCCACTACCAAGACCATCTTCAAACAACCCTACCAGCCCTTGTTTAACAAACGGGAGCGGTGTGTTAAATGCATGAGCTCTCCTGTACATGGGGTGGACAGAGGGAAGAACACCCTTCTCCATTTCCCTTTTTAGCTGCTTGGTTTGGAAGGATGCAAAATGCTAATAAAGCATTTGGCTGGCCTTTTCAGAGACAACTGCTCATGTCCTTTCATCCTAGCCACCCAAAAGATGTGGGCTAAGGTTTTCTTTGTTTTGCCCTTCTCATTTCCCACCACCCAACTGGGCTGCTGCTGTTGGCCTGTGTTGTTTTTGCCTTTTACAAAACTGAGGGGGAAATCAGAGCATGTTCTGACTGCCGCCAACAAACCTTTCCTTAGTTCATTTCATTCCTGTCGAAAGCCCATTTTTGGAAACCTGATGTGGAGTTTGTTTCTTAGCCCCCATTCCCATTTGTCAGGCATTCAACTCTTTCCTCTGCTAAATCATCCAATTCTGTCGGCCTGAAGCCTCCATTTAAGCTTGCTATTTACTTAACCTTCACTGTACCAGGATGAGGCAGTTTTGCCTTCCTTCTTGGCCACTTTATTATTTCTTTACTGCAGCTCAGTCGCCTCTTGAACCTCACTGTAGCTCAGGTAATTCTCATCATGCACTTCATATCCCTGTGGACTGTTATTCCTGCCAAAAGCAGTTATTTACACTCTCTTTCTGCATTTTTCTGTGCCACTGACACACAACCCCTGACAGCATTCAGCCAACTTACTATAATCCTTTCCTTTTTTTCCCCGTTAAAAAAGTGAGAATTACTCTGAGGTTATTTGTTCCATTAGTTTCTGAACCATTGTCAACTGATGGAAAATCATCATATCTATTGGCTCTTAGCCAGATCAGGTACTCAATGGTGGTATTGTTGAAGCCATTGGAACCAGGGTGCTGGTGGGTGGGCTCGGAGAAGCTCACTGTGTACATGAACATCTCAAAGAGCAAGATTTACTGTAGCCCTGCACCTGATGTGCACCTTAATTACTTGAGCTTTTTAAAAGTTTACATCTCTGCCCACAGCCTGAAATGGCCTGCTCCAGCATTCAAATGGTTGAATTGGGCAAGACACAGTTGGTTCTATCACCCCTTTAAATCTGGGTTAAAAAGAGTGAAGAGGGGACCTGATCCAGGTTGGAATCATGGTGCATAAGGAATCATAGGATCATAGTAGATTTGGAAGGGGCCAGAGCACCATCAGGTCCAACCCCCTGCAGGACATAGAATTAAATCATTAAATCATCCTTCTCATCTGTGCAGTTGCATCTTGAATGCCTCCAGTGTGGGAGAACCCACAACCTACATAAGTAATTATTTCCATTGTCATACTTCTCTAAAAGTCAGGAAATATTTTCTGAATGATTAGCTCTTTCCTTTGCACCATTTTCCTAGTGACAATCTCTTCCAACTCTCAATGCATGTGCAGTCAAAGCTGTTATTTACCTTACTGTGGGAAAGAAATTTTCCCTAACTGGGGAAGCAACACGTTGGAGAGGGCACTGGAAAACAGTGCAAGGGAAAGATGAAGTCCCATGTGCATGCCTGCACACGATTCCCATCTGGATTGGGCCTTCCAGATCCATGTTTTCCCCACTGTTTAAAGAGCTGGGAAACGCAATCCACAATTCTGTTGTCTTGCTCAGTTTAGCCCTCCATTTACTCCACATTCTCCATGCATGAAACTGCTTAAAAAGAGCCCAAATTAATGGTGCCTAAACCTGCCAGAAAAAGTAAAAAAGGGCCTGCAGTGTAATTCTGATTGCTAAACATTCAGGAAGCTTTTCTCGGGAAGCAAAGAGAGTATGAGGTCCAAGAGAAGTTCAAAGGAAGAAGGACATGTTTTAAATCTGAGAAATAGAAACTTGGTTTTCAAAAATGAATAAGGAAGTTTAACAGGGAAATAACTGACTTTGAGATATAAAAGCTTGCAATGGACAAGCAAAGAACTTGAGAGAAAGTCTGAATTCAGACAGTACAGTAACCCTCAGTTGAAGGCTGAGTATGGGTTGAATAGTTGTTGACTGTTGTTGAAATATGGATTATTATGATGTCCAAACCCAGCTCTGCTAATAGGCCAAAGCTTGTTAACCATAAACAGCCCATGAAGAGAACCTATAGTTTGCTAATGGGTTATGAAGAGTGGGTTATTCACCATGCTTTATGAACCCTAACCCTAACCCTCAGCTGGGTTCATACAACATGATAACCCATGTTTCAACAACAACCCATGGCTTAATGACAACCCACACTTAATTCTTGGTGGAGGGTAGTCTGAATCCAGTCAATGAAAAAAGAAAGAAGCCCAGAGTTCTAAAAAGCCACAGGAAGTAAAAAAAATGAATAGAAACCTGCTTTTTTCCTGTTTTCCCTTCCCTTTGCAAAACATCACTGAGCCATAACAAGGGCCAAGTGGGTGGCCCAGGACAGGAACAAACGAAGGATAATTTCTAATGAGAATTCTGAGATACTAAGCATGCTAGAACCATGGTGCTGGAGGTGAGCTTTGTGAATATCCTGGACTGCCAGAAAGATGAAGTGGGTCCTACAAAACAGAACTTTCCCTGGAAGCAAAACTGAGGCGGTCATACTTTGGGCACATCATGAGAAGGCAAGACTCCCTGGAGAAGGCGCTCATACCAGGGAAAGGCAAAGGCAGAAGAAGAGGAAGACTCATTATAAGATGCACTGACTCCATAAAGGAAGCTACCGTCTTGCATTTACAAGAGCTGTGCAGGGCTGTGAAGGAAGGCATATTGGAGGGAATTCATGCACCAGAAATCAGAGATGGCTTGATGGCACATAACAGCAGAGGGCTTCCTGCCCCTTTCTCACTTATTCTCCACTTTCAATCTCCACACTGGAGAAGAAGAAGAGCAGGGGATGCATGAGCATAAAGTTCACCTGGATATTTACATGGTGCTAATGTATAGCTTAACACAATGTCCAAGAGTACTCCTCTCCTGGTGTTAGAAAGGCAAATATGTGGTGATGAGTTGTGAAGAAAAGGATAAGTAAGCCCTATACCAAGGCTCTAAGTGATCCGCTTTGTTTTTGTTTTTCCTCTTCTCTGAAATGAGCCCAGGAGACTTTTTGTGCATGTTCAGGGGTGATAGAGAAACTGCAGCATGCTAGCCTGCTTGGCCGCTTGCAGCGCATCAAGGAGCAGTCCCAGGTGATCAATCAAGCCATGGCTGACCTCGCCACCATCCCCTACCTCCAAGATATCAGCCAGCAGGATGCTGAACTGGTAAGCATTCTGTTTTTGCCTCCGTCCATGCTAGATCTTCAGCAGCTGATGAAAGAAGCAAAGCTGCAGCACAGCTGGGATTTTGCCTTTGCATTTTAGAACAGAGCAGCAGTGGCAAAGCACGGGCATGATGCTGGGGCAGAGCAAGAGCGAAGCAGAACAAATCCAAATAAAGAACCATGATTTTTGTTCTGAGGCCTCTTCTCCATTTCTTTAGCATGGGAGTGGTTTGCTTTTTAGGAGGCAATCCTATCTCACTAGCTGGGACATGCTGGGTATTCCTGTCTAAACAGGTAGAGTTATGCCTTTTATACAATTCAAAACAATATACAATATAAAGAATGTTACTAGCATTCCATGGAATAACTTGTGTCAGTTATGAGTTATATAAGGAGTAACAAAACCCCCTCAAAATTCCAAAAACTGGGGCTAGCCAAACATGGCAACAATTGTATTCTGTCTCTCATGGTAACTTGTGGGAGTGAACATGGAAATGTAGGAACAGCCCAGCTAGATCAGAAGAAAGTCTATCTAGTCCAGCACACTGATTCCCACAAGGACCAAACAGATGCTACCAGGAAGCCCACACATTCTTCTACCTGTGAAAGGGTTGGAGCTCCCTTCCAAGTTCTTGGTATGGTGGCTCAGCAACAGCTTTGGAAAGAGAAGGCCACCAACTCAGAGTCTGGTGTCTGCAATTTAAACAGGCTCAGACAGCAGATGATGGGGAATATCAGTCTCCACTCAAGAGCCTGGATAGTTAGTCAGAGTCAATGTCAAGGGCCAGCATGATCTGACCCTTGCTGAAGATCTGCATCTCAGCAGGGCTCCACTGACCAGCATTGCTCTTCCTCCTCTTCACCCTCACAGTCCTTTGGCCCAGACAAGGTGAAGAGGAGGAGGAGGAACAGGAGGTTCCTCTGTTTCTCCTTGCTTCATGACTCTGTACCTTTCGAAACATCCTAAGACAAAAGATGAGGAACCATAGCATTCAATGGCAATGCTGCTGAGGAGGCAGGAGGCTCCTGTGGAGGCGGTCCACCAAGAATGCCTGGGCCAAGGGACCTTGAACACCTGGAGGCAGCACTGATCAAAGCAGACAACGCTGGTTAAATGAGCCAGTAAGCTGGCATGGTACAACACAGCTTCCTAAAAGTTGCAGCCCTCTCATGCTGTTGGGTCCCACCAACTGCCAATGCATAACAAGCTATTTCTGAATCTGAAGGTTCCATATAGCCATGATAACTAATAGCCACCAGCAGATCCATCCTCCATTAATTTCTTCCCCTGCTCCTTTTAAAGCCATTTCAGCAGCAGACATAACCACATGCTGTGGTATGGAACTCATTAACCTGCTTGTGCTTGGAGTTTGCCTCGAGTCTCTCCTCTGGTTTCACTACCATACTCTTAGTGAAATGCTCCTAGTCTTGAAACACAAATATATCCCACCAGTTCTAAATATATGCTGAAAACATGAGGGCCAGTTACTTGATCATCTGTAAACCCCCTCTTCTCTCTGATCTGTACCCCCACCCCACCCCACCCCACCCCCTTTTTCTCAAGTACATCAACACTAGTACACCAACCTTATGATGGAAAAACTTGCCACCAGCAGCCTCTAGGTGTGCGGGTGAAGTTATGGCAGAAATTAAAAGTCAAGAGAAGGCATTCAAGATCTGGCATTTTCTAGCCTTTTAGATCTTACCATTGGTTTCCAGTAGACAGAACCTTATTTTACTGATCAGTCCTGAAAACTGATGGGATAACAACCCTGTTCAGAGTTAGAAGCCTATTTCAGCCCCTCCACAATCAAGCCAAGCAGATCCAACATCACATGTTTTTTTCTGTCCCTGTTCTTAGATCCAGGGTGTAGGTGGCAGCTATCTATGGCTGGACCACCAGGAGCAGGAGTGATGGAGGTGGATGGAGACCTTGGCATTGATGCAGAAGGGCCATAGGCAAAAGTAGGAACAAACAGGGCCAGAGGACATCGAAGCATAGCAGGACCATCAGGAGCAGGCAGGGAACAGATACCCAGCAAAATCTAGCTGGACCAGAGACAAAGGCAAGGGTCTAGTGCCTGGCAAGGCAGGGTTAGGCCAGAGGCAAGAGCAGAGTCGGGAGCAAGCAGGAGTCAAAGGCCAGGAAAGCCCGGAAGCAGGCTCACAAACACAATGCAGCCTCCATAAAATCCCGTGTTACTCTAGCCAACTGAGCAGGGCAGGGGAGCCTTTTATTGAGCCTTCCAGTGTGAGTGTGTCAATGTGCCCTGGCATCCTCCAGGCTGCGCATTTCCTGTAAGCTGAAATCCCCATTTGAGAGGCCTCCAGAAGCAGCTGCTTTTGCCACGTGGAGTCATCTCAAGGAATGGCATTCCTGTTCTTACAGTGACCTCAGGGGCATCAAGGGATCTGCAAGAAGATTCCCAAAAGGCTCTCAGTAAATGTAACAGCCCTCCTGCCATAAGACAGTCCCATGCTCAGCCTCAAATTGACGCAATGGGTAATTCTAAATGTGCATGCCTCTAAATTAATTACTAAATGCAAATGAGCAGTGGCTGGTGTTTCTCCTCTGGGATGGGTGGCAGCCCAAGTCATACATCACAGCTTAAGCACATGCTGTGAAAACATGACTTAAAAACCCGCTCTCCCAGCTGCAAACGTCCCCTTCCAGAAAGTGCAGTGACCTTCTCAAGGGTAGAATTCCAGCAGCTCTCTAGCGTGTTTGCAATGCTTTCGATCTTTCTTTTATCATACTTGGCAGCGTCAGAAGCCCAGACTGAATATTCAGCAATGACGAAGCTCATCTTTCTTAGGTCACAACTAGATGCAGTGCAGCAGGAGATCCATGATCAAAATCTCCCACAATTTGGTTTTTAAGTTAATAGCATCCAAAAGTGGAGACTGAATTAAACTACAACTGCAGACAGCCTAGAGGGGAGAGAGAGGGAGGGTTAATCTCTTTCTGGTGTGCCATTTCCCCAGTTGAAAGCTGCTATTTGCCCTGTGGGTGGAAACATACAAGTACCTGCATGGTATCTATCTATTTTCCCCAGCAGGGCAAATAATAGCAATGCTGGGGAATGGCAGGGGAAGGGTCTGGTGAGATTGCCCACCTCCACAAACACACTGTTGCTACAGACCTCTTTAGAAGAGAGGGAGAAGTGGATCTCTCCTATGACACCGGGTTGCTCTCTCTACCTCAAATTGCTGGATTGCTCCTTCCAGTCAAATCAGATCCATGCTTCTTCCATGCACATAAAACCTTCTAAGAGCATAAGAGGAGCAGTGATGGATCTAAGGAAGGGCTCATCTAGTCCAACCTTCTGTTCACACAGTGGCCAATCAGCTGCCCACAGGCTCCTTCAGGCAGAAAATCTGAAAAACTGCCCCCTGCTGACCAGGTTCCCCAGCACCCGGTGTGCATAAGTATGCTGCCTCTGATACCAGAAGCAGCATCTAGCCATCGGGACAAGAAGCCATTGATGGCCTTCTCCTCTGATAATTACTCCAGTCCCCTTTTAAAGCTATACAAATTGATGCCTTTCACTACATCTCATGGAACTGAACTCCATAGTTGAACTATGACCACCTAAATAGTCCCTTTCTTTATCTGTCCTGAATTTCCCACCCATCAGCTTCATGGGATGAACCCTTTGGGTTTTGCTATTATGAGCAGAAAAATATCTGTCCATCTACTTTCTTCACCCTATGCATAGTTTTGTATGCTTTTATCATGTCTCCCCTTACTTTTTTCTAAGTTGAACAACTCAAGATCTTATAAACCTTGCTGACTTGAGACCTGCTTCAGGTAAAGACAGGGAAACATGGCTTTAAACAAACAAGCAAACAACCTTTCCTTACAGGGAAGTGGCACCAGCTGCATGACCCCTTTAGTTGCTTTCCTGTATGGAGTATACATGTTAACTGTTTAATGGTTTCCATGAATCACCTAGAGAGCCCCTAGAGTAAGAATCTGCAAGGAATATCATTTTTTCTTTATTTAACAATGTCCAGCCAGTGGCATACTTTTGCTTCCCTGACAATTTCAGGGGAAGGAATTCCAGCACTCACTCAGTTCCTACAGTCAAACTCATGGAACTTGAAAGCACTGAACTTTTCCATGTTTATGTTCAATATTCATGGTCTATATTTATAAAATGGAATAGTTACGAACCTTCCTGTTACAAAGCAAAAGCTTCCTAGACTAAAAGCCCATATTCTAAAGTACATGTTTTCAGTATAGGCTTTCCTATTGTTTGGCATTATACAGCTCACAATAACATGAGGCAAATGCGGATGAAACCAAAAACAGAAAAAAAGAAAAAAGCAGTGGTGGTGCTCATTGTGCGAAAGATGAGCAATAAAATCATCAGCGTACAAATGATTTTTTAATTAGGTTTTAATCTGTGTATTTAGAGAAGTTATTTCTGTGTGAATTCCATTGCGATAATTTTTATCTTGGTGTCACAGCTGCAGTCACTAATGGCAGATGCCATGGACACCCTCGAAGGGAGGAAAAGTGATAAAGAACGTGTCTGGAATAAAATTCAAAAGGTAAAAAAAGTCATTGCTAAAGTTGCTGGGAAATAAAGGTCTGTCTTGCGGGTCAGATTTGTTCTGAAGGTGCTGAAAATGTTGGTCACATCACTAGCTAGAAGTTTTGCCTTAGCCAGGTGGCTCACCTTGAAAGGAGTCCTTGTTCCAATGTACTCGCATCCTCTCACCCTTCCATACCATCCTGCCAAGTGGAACAGACAAGATGCAAGCGATTCTTGCTGAAAATATGTGCCCAGAACTGTCCTGAGCAAGCTGCAATGGTGGCAGTGCCGTATGTTTGTAAACAAAAGCGTGTATACGCCCAGGGGGAGCAAGGCAAGGAGCAGCGTTTACAGTAGCAACCTTCCAGCAACTCTGAATATTTGTGTGCATATGTGTGAGCTTATACTTACACATATATGCATATGCCTATATATTATTAATATTTTCAAGACCAGTATCTCTGATCCATACTATATGAATATATAGGTTGTGTGTGTGTGTGTGTGTGTGTGTGTGTTTTGTTCTTCCCCTTTTTCTTTTATACGTGTTTGGGGAACTGCTCTTGTTTTGTATTCTCAGTGTTTCCTCACTGATGAAAGATTGCATTTTCCTTTTTTTCATTTTTATTTAAAATTTCATATTTTTCACAGTTCTTTTGCTTTGTTGAAAGACCACTTTTATGACAGTGAACTACGGGTATCGTTTTTGGACAAGACAAGAGATCAACAATGGTGAAAAACCACTGAGCTCAGTCACTGGGGGCGGGATGAATGTTTATGGAGATTTTTGCCTGCGCCTACCAGTCAGGTGGCCCCATGGCTGGCAGGGCAATCTGGCTTCTGAACTCCTCTCTCTGTCTTCCCACTTTCGCTAGGCATCCCAGCAGCCCCGCGAAACAAAATCCTCTTCTGCATGGCATTGTTCCCTCTGGAACTCAGCTAATCGGCGCACCGAGGGAAAGTGTTTATTTAAAAAAAATAATAATTAAAGAACCCTTTGGAGCTGGAGTGCCTAGGAAGCACTGCAGAGATGCAGCATAACTCAGGCGGGGGAAGAGGGAGAACCCACCTCTAAACCTCCATGAATTCCATTTCACTGAGAGCCAGTGTGGTGCAGTGGTGAAGAGCATGGAACTGGGACTCAGGCAACCTGGGTTCGAGTCCCTGCTTGGCCATGGAGCCAACTGGGTGACTTTGGGCCAGTCACAGACTCTCAGCCCAACCTGCCTCACAGGGTTGTTGTTGTGGGGATAAGGAGGAGGAGAATGATGTAAGCTGCCTTGAGCCCTTTGTAGGAAAAAGGTAGGATATAAATTGAAAAATAAATAAATAAATAAATAAATAAAAGTTCTGAGGTGCCTCCAGTGTTGCATTCCAGTTTGGGGTGGAACCATGGAACAGGGGCAGGGCCAAAGGCAAAAGGGGTAGTGCAAATATACCCCTGAAACCAGCATGCTGCCAAACTCATACTGCCAATAACTATGCCTTAGGAGAGACATGTCAAAGTCTTAGAGTGGGGCAGGGGACTTCACAACAGCTACAAACACACCCAGAGAGGGTTGGGGAAAGGGGTGTGGCCCTCAGGAGAGCTCCACTCGGCCCCCACCCTGGCTTCCGTGCAACACAAGATGTGCCACCTGTGCGCCGTATCATGAGGCCTCCCTCTGTCCGTGCTTATTATTATTATTATTATATTATTATTATTATTATTATTATTACATTTTTATACTGCCCATAGCCAAAGCTCTCTAGGCAGTTGACAGCAATAATCATAGAATCATACACTCAAGTCACCCATCCCATTTCTGCCCAGGCCTGACCCTGCTTAGCTTCCAAGATTAGGCAGGATCAGGCACTTCAGGCTACATGGAAGCCACTTGACTAGGTGAGCTGAGAGGCGGTGCAGCAATGTCCATGGCAATGTTGCCACATCACACCTGTGCTGGTGTTGGGCTGAACCATCTCTGAGTTTGTGGAGCAGGGGGGGGGAGATGCTCCCTGAAGCCGTATGGACAAGGCTCCAGGAATGGCAGAAGCAAGTGACTGAGCAGCTGCACCACTTGGTGATCTTGGGCAAGCTTGTCTGAGCTGCACCTCTGCATCTTCCTTAGCTTAAACTAGGCCTCCCCAACTTGGTGCCTTCCAAAAGTATCTGATTATGGTTCTGCCAGGTCAGGATGACAGGAGCTGTGGGTCAACCCATCTGGAAGGCCACAGGTGGGAGAAGACTGGTATGAAGAATAGTTCTGGGAATACACTGATATATTTGAAAGAGATCATAAAATAGCCATGCCTTGTTTTGTTGATTGGTGACTGGTGATGTCTCCTATGCAAATCATCTATTTGCTATTGGTATTTGTCCCAAGGACACACCAGGAAACAAAGAGTGCCCATTTTCTGCATGTTTCATCTCAAAAGATAAATAATGCAAACACCAAAGCAATTCTCAGGCACTCTGCTGTTTGATCTCCCATTTGCCTACAGAGTTCTCAGGAGAAAATCCTTTAGAAATAATAAACACAATATGTTCTCTGCTGTTAATGTCATCAATGGCATAAGAATAACTATGAACTAGCTCAAAATCAGCAAAACTCAAGCTTGTCAAAGTTGTCCAAATTCCATCTCAAAACTCATTCTGACTGTGAAATTCATGAACACTTTAGACTATTTTTCATTGTGCACCTCCTCCAACAGCAAGCAGTGTGCAGCCCATTTCTGTCTCTGGTCCCCACTGCCCTCCTCCAGTGCAGCCTCCACCCCTACTCCAAAATACAGGGTGACCAAAAAAAGGGTGAAACAAAATGAGTCCTGTACCTGCTACAGGGTTAAATTAGCTCACAAACATGCCGTTTTTAATCCTTTGGGAACTCCATAGCGGCTATGGGTCCTGTTCCGTTTTCATTATTTAGTTGTTCTCAGTGGAAAAACCACCTACAGAAGAAAGATGCGGTGAACAAAAACCGCCCTTAAATTCCCCAAATTTGCTCACCCCCACCTGCATTTAAACCTGCATCCTTGCCCAGCTATGAAGCTGTGCATGCGGTTGCCATACTTTGAAAGAAGCAACCTGAAATCCCATTTTTCCAGCTATTGCAATACTGGACTGCAGCATGATAAAGCACACTGACTGTTCAAATGCCTGCTCTATCTCCCACAATTCCGGCATGGTGTGTCGGTGTATGGTACATAATCCCATTATGAACGCCGCCAAAACTGCATTGTATTTGTTAACGTGGGCCCAGCAGCAATTGCTTTTGTCAATCTTCCCCTGGGTAGCAGAAAGAGCAAATGCGTGGATCACCAAGTCACAGTATTGCCCATTATATTGTTATTGGAACCACAAAATGTACACCCATACATATACGTCAGCATATTTATTTATTTATTTTTCCGTTTATATCCCTCCTTTTTCCTACAAAGGGCTCAAGGCACCTTACATCATTCTCCATCTCCATCTTATCCCCACAACAACCCTGTGAGGTAGGTTGGGCTGAGAGCCTGTGACTGGCCCAAAGTCACCCTGTTGGCTCCATGGCTGAGCGGGGACTAGAACCCAGGTCATCTGAGTCCCAGTCCCATGCTCTTAACCACTACACCACACTGGCTCTGCATATGCAAATTTTAACCAGGTCTGTGTCCTCCATTGCCTTCTTTTTCGGATGATGCCTTAGTGACGACCAAATAAGACCAAGACTTTTTATAGGACTTTGAGGGGACCTAATATTTATTTTATTTTATTTATTTAAAACTTTTGTATACTGTCCCATCACAGACATCTCAGGATGGTTTATAATAACAACAATAAGATAAAATAAAGTAAAAGTAGTTCATAGATAGAATATACATGCTTGTGCTAACCTTTACAAAAGAAAGAGAAAGGAGTGTCAGAAGTGAGGAGAGAGAAGGGGAACTTAGTAAAGAGAGGAGGAGACCAAAAGAAGTGCTTCTTTCCATTTCTGGCTCTGGGACCACCCACCACTGGTATTGACACCCAGCCACTACAAACAAAAAGTTCCCAATAAGCCCCAGGAACATGTTGCCCTCCTTAGGGGAAAAGAAACCCACCCTTCCCATGTGGAATGTTTCTCTGAAGCAGACGCAATACATAAAGCCACCAAAGGTAATGTCGATGCCTTTACTTCTATTAATCTCTGTGTTCTTTCATAGAGGTGTTATAATGGTGTAGTAAACTCCAGAGACATGACTATTTTTCCTGCAGTTATGTGAAAGCAGTGAACAGCCGTTGTTTAAATCTGTCCCCGCAGCTGGCCGGCTATCTTGACCGTACAAAAGTGAAGCTAGTATGGAAGTAAACAACTGCCTTGTTTACCATGAGTTGTACAAAACTGCATTTTCCCCTTACATGCAGAGGCCTCCTGATTCATCCTCCACCATCTCCAGCCTCACTTCTGCTTGAAGCTGTACAGAGCCACGGCGGAGCTGAGGCGATGTTGCCCTAAATTGACCAATTGTCCAATTTGGTATAAGGCATCATTATATGTTCATACCTGCAGGCCAGAGCCCCAGTACCTTGGAAGACTCCCCTGCTACCACCTGTCTGGATCACCTTACATTTCCCCAGGATAGCATCACACCAAGGCATTGTGGGAAATGCATATGGCAACGGGTCTAAGTCCTGCTAAGTAGACCCACCAGGAGGACCCACCAATGGAGCAGAGGGCCCAAACTAGGCTATTTTGGCCAGTCATACCACAAACGTGCCTTTCCTCTACCTATGAGGCGGCCAGAAATTCATGCAAGGCAGTTCAAAGGTAGGAAAAGACATGTGATTGTTGCTTGGGTCACAACAACAATACAGGCCTCTAGTACCACTTCTAGCTGCTGCTGGGCTAGTTGCATTTTTCCATGTTCATCTCAGTGCCATCTTTCTCCTGTGCTCCCAGCCACCAGAAGCTCCATAAATATATGAAGTTATCACAGTATGGAGAATGGCAAGCCCAGATATCCAGCTCTCCATTTGGGACATGGGTGGATGAACACTCAAACATGTCAGTG